GACCATTAAAAATCAAATGAAGAAGTCATAAGTAATAGTTAAAAATGATTGAGTAAAATCTTCATATAAATACTGGTGACATTTGTAGCATCTTTAGCACCATTTAATGTAGATTTTATCATAAAAACTATCAAAATAGCAACTGCTACTAAAATTGCAAGTAACCTTAAAGAGTTCACCCAATGCTCAGGGCATTATTTACATTAATAATCATTATCTCTAGAGTAACCTTTTTCACAATCAGCACACAGAGTGCCTCTATAACCTCTAAGGCAATCTCCTGTTGGATTATAATTAGGAGCAATCATTCCAAGACAAGCCTTCTAAAAAAGACATATTTCTATATTCTTAGTCTAATTACTTTTTCTCCAGTACCCAGGTAATGGACCAATATTAGCTCCACCCAAGCAAACTGCTTTTTCAGTAGGACATATCGCGCAAGAACCAGGTTCTCTCATTTATATTAAAGAATAGCTATCTTCACATTTCTGACATTTACCTACTGAAGTAAATTGCTCTCCAATTTAACATTCTCTAAGCTTTAAATCTAATAAAAAGTTGAGATCGCTGCTACTCAATTTTTGTAAATATTCTTTGTTAGATGGTTTAGTCAGATCAATACCATCTGTTGAAAATGATATTTAATATTTGCTCCCCGGATTTCCTGCTATAAAAACGCTATCTATTACTGAGACTCCTCCTAAAGTAGAAAAATCACTACTGCCTTCAAGAATAGGTGGAAACATACTAGCTTTTGAGTCTATATTAATAGTTAAACACTTAATATTTAAAAGCTATTTATAATTACCTAGATTATTCGTTTAAACTGAAATTCTAACTTTACTTTAAAAATCAGAACCTACAATCTGACCATATTTGTCTATTAGTGCCATATAGATGATGGGTATTTATCCACCACTTCTTTGATTATCAACAGATTAATTAAACATTATTTCATCTGATTAATAATATTAAAGCTCTCTATAATCAAAATCATCCAATGTATATAATCCTATTTTAATCATTTGCTCCTTATATTATTATTTTGATAAAGAGCCTAGATTTTGAGCATAGCATGCCATATTGTCTCCATATTACTTTGCAGAGTTATTTATGAAATTAAGATTAGAGTTATTATAGATAGGTTCAAGAGAATTCCAATATATAGCTCCACCTTGAATTTAAGCATAGTTGAATTTAAAGATGTTTACACCATCAAAAGTTAGTTTACAGTTCAAAATATCATCATTGCACGTATAATAGATAGCACCGCCTGATCCTGCTTCAGATACCTAAATCAATTAATCTTTTATAATCATCGCTTTATTCCAAATAAATTAGTTATCCATTAACAAGACTGATTGAGCATTTTCTGTCATGATTGCCCCTCCTTCTTAAGCTGAGCAATTTTTAAAAACTGAGTTAGTTATAAAGAATTTTCTTGTTTTTTCAATATCAGTTGTTCCTTTATTTAAATCAAAATCAATTATGTATATTGCACCTCCATAAACTGATCTCAAGTTACTAAAAGTTGAATCTCTTATGTCTAATCCAGTACAATATTAGCAATTTATTCCTCCACCACTTTAAGAATGTATATTTGAGTAAATATCTTTAATAATCAAGTCAACTGCATATAATTTAGCTTATTCAATGTAAATGGAATTCTTTGCATTAACATTAGATATTTGTACTTTGTTCAAAGTCAAAGTATTAACTGAATTTGTTAGATAAATATCCTCTCCTTAATCAATCGCATAATTGTCTTTTAAAATTGTATTATTGCCTATATAAATGGACTTAAAGCTTGTTGCATATATTGCTCCTCCCTTTGATCTTGCTTTGTTATTTTAAAAAGTAGACTACTAAATGTCAGCAATACTATCTCCTGAAATAAATATTGCACCCCCTAGGTTAGACATGCCATTCCAAAACTAAGTCTACCTTAATTTCATGTTAACATTGAATATCAAAAAGATATAGGAGCCAGTTGTTTACTCGTCTTGTAATTACTATAAGTAATTATTAGAGATTTAGCTAATGAAAAAGGTTTTCTCAATAGTTATATTAGCAAATCCACAAAGTATTCCCTTCGTTCTTTCTCTAGCGATATTGTTTTTGAATTATGAATCTGAAAGTAAAACGTTTGCGTAAACAAAGGATAGAGTATTTCTTACAGAATAGTTATCTTCAAAAATAGATTTTTCAATCTTTATAACGTAATTTAAGTTGGCTCCAAGCACATCTAAGACTGAATTGTCTTAAGCTACATTTTTTGTGAATTCTGAGCCAGATATTTATAAAATAGACTGAGTTGATAAGAATAATACTCCACCTGATTCTGAGGCATAATTTTCTGAGAATTCACAATTTATTATTGTCAAATTTGAGTAAGAAACCATATAAAATGTACCTCCTAATTTCGCTTGATTGCTGCTGAATTTAGATTAGATTAATACACTCTGGCTTTCTTAACTATAGATAACACCACCATATAATCCTGAGTTGTACATATATGTTGATTTGAAATCATTGAATTTAGTTTTGGTTAAGGTGAATACCCCTCCTAATGAAGAAGTTCCACAGTACTAAAATAAATTTTAAGATGAATGAAACTCAGCAGCGTTAGATACGTATATCTGAGTATCTGAGTCACTTTAATAATTTCCATCGGAAAGTTAAAAGGACTTATTTTTAAATGTTTCGACTGCATCACAAATAAAAACTGAGTTAGAAATATTTATAGTTATTGAGTCAGCTGTAGAATATACTAATGCACCATGAATAGATTTAAAAGTATCAAATTTAGAATTTTAAATTAAAAGTTTGAGTCCACTTTACAAACTGATAAAACCTCCATTTAAAGAAGAAGAAATACTTGAAACAGTTATATTTTGCAGGATAATGTTAGCACTTGGATTAGCCGAATAAATAAAACCACCTCTTGTCGCTTAATTATCAAATAACGAATTCGAATTTTTAAGTATAAATATTGTTTATTCATCTGTTTGTTAACTGTTCTATCTCATATATATGAATCCTCCATCACGTAAAGCCTAATTGCTGATAATTGTAATATTCATAAGAATGATCTATACAGTATCATCAGTAAAAATGCATCCTCCTTGACTAGCTAAATTATTTTTAAAAATGCTGTTTTCCATTTTAATTGAACAGCTATTGCATAAAAAAACTCCTCCTTAAGGTGCAAGATTATTTTAAAACGTAGAAAAAGAGTCATCAAATTTTGTGTTTTTAAGATGAATGAATTAACCATTATTTGATTTTTAACACTATCTGAAAATAGAATCATAAGAATGGAAACCATAAATAGAATCTTCAATGTAAATTATTCCGAGATTTTAATTTTCATCTAAAATGAGGGAATCAGCCATCACTGATGAGCATTCAATAGTGGTGTTAATGATAGTTAAATTTAATTAAGGCTGTTTGCTATATAAGAGTTGAGTCTATCCTTATACTGATTCAAAGTCTCCAATATATGAGTTTTTTATAATAAAGGTGTTGACAGTTTCGTAAAAAATATTTGGATCTACAGTTATCAGTCCTTGTTACTGTTAAATTTAGTTGGTGATATTTTTTATTATAATCTAATCAAAGTACAGAAAATTAATTCCCTGACTAACTTGCAAAAAAGATTTATAAGCATTCATACTAATATCTTAGAAAATACTATTCTTGATTATTAATTCAGAAGGAATAATATTTTCAGCATAAGTGAAATCAATGAGGCCTGAATTTGATATTATAGATCTTAAAGTTACATTATTGAGTGAAAGTCTTGAATCCATAAACATTAAGAAAGAATTCCCTATAGAATAGACATCAATAAACTTTACTTCATCAAAATAGACTTATTGATTAAATCCAAATTAAAATCCAAATGCTTGGAAATTTGTAAATGTTGAATTGAGAATAATGACAGTATTTTTTTAGAGATCAGCTATTATTACCTATTATTAGCCTCTTATATCACAATTTTAAACTGTAAAATTGTTCAATTAGAGTTATCCCCAAAATATATAGATAAGTGAGGAAATTGTAGTTGAATCTTAGTAAATTTATTAAAAATCATCAAGAATAACTGATTGAACTGGTCGTTCATCATATTAATCTGGGCCACCATATCTGAAGCAATCAATGATAGTGTTACTTAGATAAGCTGATTATTTCAAATACTTAAAACTTAAAAAACTAGACAACTGCATACCTATTGGATTATACAACTGGGTATCATGTAATTCAACCATAACTGCGTTAAAAATGTAGATATTTCCAACTGGTATGGCTGATGTATAGTTCAGATATAGTCTTTAAGATATTAGTATTCCATTGATATTATCAAAGAATAGGGTACTTGCCTCTTTAGATTTAGTGCATTCAATAGTAACATCTTCCATGTAAAAATTAAAATATCTTGGTTCAATTTCATTT